CATACCTAATCAAAACCAACTTAAATATAATGGAAATGATTTCATAAAAAATCCCTCATCCTATACTGACAGTACAACACTAGTCCTATACTAACAGTACCACTTGATAGCAATCCATGTCTTTTTCATTACGCAAGCGATTTTTATAAATATATTCCGTACGCATTTGTTTTAAACATTTTGCGTATCTAACATTTTAAATGCGTAATTGGTACGCAACAATTATTTTTCAATGCGTAATTTGAAATTTTCTATGCGTATTTTACCCGGATACGCAGCTTATCTGGGCCTCTGTAATACGTTTACAGTATTAACATGTTTTGTTTCCTGACAAGATATGATAGATATAGGATATATTTCGATAGATTTACTAAGTCTCGAGATGTATTACAGATAATATTTTCGTGAACTATGTTTCATTGGAAAAAAGAGGTTAGATGGGTGGCTAAATATTGTTTCCTCAAAGTATCTAATGCCTTGCAATGAAAAATATAGCGATATTCATCTGCGATGCTTTTAGAAGTGCATAGCTGACACGTTCTCTCGTCCCTTGGAATATTATACCAGCGGCCCGTCTCAATAGGTAAATTATGGTTACATGTCACAACATCATTAGGTCACGTTCTACCTGTTCTCAAGCCATCATTTAAACAGGCACGATACAGGTCATTCAAGACATTTTATTTCTTGTCTACTGAACATATTCCTCACTTAATCTTTCTTTTACAAGGAACGGGCGGATACTGCTTTCTTGAGAAAGGGGGCGCTCAGTCTATTTACACGAGCGTTTCAGTGGTCATTAAATAAATTTTCCGGAGGAAAGGTATGGGTTGGGGGAAGGCGCTTAGGATGTTTACCCTCCCTGATTGCATGCTTCTGTTTTCACGTTTGCTCATCCACCCTTGATTGCATTGTTGTCATGTCGCCGTCAGAATGGTTCGTAGATCAACAATGATAATTTCTCATCCACCCCTATTAGTTGTAAACAACATATATACATATGTCAGTTTTGTACATGTCGTTAAAACCTATGCTTAAAAATTATGGGAAGGGGGATCGGGGTGGTCATTGATGTTGTACATGAAAGGGTTACTTATTTTGTACATACAATTTAGGGGGTGGGGGTGGGGGGTCACTCACATTGTACATCGCAAAAATCATCAAACACCCACCGAAGAGCGCACGCACGCACACACGCACACAAGCCATAAATTATGAACGGTCCCTAAAGTTAGTTTAGGATGGATAAGTGGTGAGGTGAGGTGAAATTGTGTTTTACGTTGTGCTTGAGAATATTTCGCTCATATGACGACGTGCATGCGGCTGCTTGTACTAGCCCAGATTTAAGCTGGTTTTATAGTGCTAGCCCACTGTGATACCATGCCGCAGTGAAGCATGAATACCCCACTCAGACACATTATACTGACTCCGAGCCGACCAGTCCTTGTTGTACCCATTAATGCCGAGCGCCAGGCAGGGACCAACAAGTACCATATGTTAACGTCTTTTGGTATGACGCGGTCGGGGATCGAACCCGCGACCTTCCGCTCTCCGGGCGGACGCTCTAACCACTACACCACGGAGGCGGTCTATTCTTACTATAAACCTTAGGCATAGAATGATTAAAAACCGGGGGTTACGGGCGGAAATCTTTCCCAGGAGGGTATTTTTCTGTCCATTATTATAAACATATTTGATTTCATATATTATTTACCTGAACATCTTTCGGGCTTGCGTGCAATCTCCATACTGTCATCTTCACAGTTGGTAGAAGCGATAACATCGTCGCCATCTGGTGAAAAGTCATAGTTGTCGACTTTCAACTGATCATCGCCAATAACGTGAGACGAAGATATCAGTTCATCATCATTTAATATTTGACAGAGAAAGATACGTCTTATTCTCCATTTTACCAAATGCTTTCCATGAACACTGGCTCAAAATGACAACGTCATCGACTGGACACGAGCCACACGACTAATGATGATACTGACGCACGTGATAATCGTGCACGGGCTATAAATTCGGCACGTGCCTACATTGTATGTGCCGTATTACCTCTGGTGTGCGACCATGTAAAACACTGAACACAACAGAAAATAAATCCCACACTGGCGCAGAACAACAAGAAAGACACAACATTTTATATTCTGTTGTAATATGATGAGGTCGAAACTCCTATGCTTACTTTAAGTCAAAAAAAAAGAAGAAATGCAGAGAACTAGTTGCATGACATATTGTCATGTGTTTAATATAGACATTACGGTCCATTTTACACCCGCGAAAGTATTGTGACACAAATAAGTAGCCTACTTGTCAAATTTTACTTTTATTGTTATTTTTCACCTTCACAGGAAGTTCTTTCTTCATTGTCGTAGTGTAAGTAGTTATACGATAACCAACCAGTTCGTGGATTAAACTACACATACTCGTCGTATAACTTATACCTAGACCGACCGTCGAAAATCTCGGGCAGTCGGACAGGCCTTATTTCATACACTGTTCGTCATACCAAAAGACGTTAAAATATGGTACTTGTTGGTCCCTGCCTGGCGCTCGGCATTAATGGGTACAACAAGGACTGGTCGGCTCGGAGTCAGTATAATGTGTCTGAGTGGGGTATTCATGCTTCACTGCGGCATGGTATCTCAGTGGGCTAGCACTATAAAACCAGCTTCAATCTGGGCTAGTACAAGCAGCCGCACATACACATACACACGCATGCACGTCGTCATATGAGCGAAATATTCTCATGCACGACGTAAAACCAAATTTCACCTCACCTCACCTCACCTCACCTTACCTCACCCACCTCACCTCACCTCACCTCATTAGGTCACGTTCTACCTGTTCTCAAGCCATCATTTAAGCAGGCACGATACAAGTCATTCATGACTTGTTTATTTCTTGTCTACTGAACATATTCCTCACTTAATCTTTTCTTTTACAAGGAACGGGAACGGACGCATGCACGTCGTCATATGAGCGAAATATTCTCAGGCACGACGTTTAACCCACTTTCACCTCACCTCATACACTGTTGTTGCTTAACGCCGACTCAGCAATATTCCAGCTGCATGACGGACATGTATAATGATTGGCACAACGGCGGGCAGCCTGATACTGGAGAAACCCCTTTACATTTGCATGGAGTTAATAAAATCAGAGACCTGTGAAGATCCGGGTTAGATCTGATTTTCGCAACTCACGCGACTAATGGGATCGGGTGGTCAGGCTCGCTGACTGGGTTGACACATGTCATGGTATCTCAACTGCGTACATTGATGTTTATGTTGTTGATCACCGGATTGTCTGGTCCAGACCCTATTATTTACAGACCGTCGTCATATGGCTGATGGCTGAGTGCGGCGCACAACAACAAATAAACCAAACAACAACAACAGCAACAACATTAAACCACACTAATATGCATTAAACTATAGTCTGTCAACCCAACTTTTGGGACACCCCTTTTTGAGAAATATCTTCATAATAACACCAACTGACCACATGCCATTAACGTATATCTTAATTATCCCCTTTGACGTAACAATAAAAAATAGTTTTAACTTTGTTGGTCACTTGGGGAAAAAGTTACTAAGCAACTATCATTAAACTTTATGTTTGTTTTGGTGTCAAGAGACGGGGTGTAGTCGCAGTAAACGTAACAGCTTACGGGTTACGTCAGGACGCAATCCAAAAGTTGGGTTGCCAGACTGTAAGTCATTGACATTATAAACAAGTGGGGTACGATACAAGTATCATCTACAGAGGCAGATACAGCTTTTTAAGAAAGGTGGGTGCGGGTGTGTCCACAGTTCATTTTCACCCGTTACCACGAGAGTTTCAATATTCATTTTAAAAGATTCAGGACAAAAGTGTCGTGCGTGCGTGCGTGCGTGCGTGTGGCCTCTTCTGGTGACCAAGTTTAACCCGGATCTTCATGGGTTTCCATGCATACTTGGCCTTGTTACATCTGTGCATGCAATCTTCGACACAATATTCTGTCCACCCCACTTGAAGGAATAATTAACAAATGGTGAATTAAGTGATGGTGACTATAATCATTTTTGTGCACTGAAATTATTATAATTATTTTTAAAAACGGCTATAAACACACGCATGAAATCTACAACAGTCAGTCATCCATTGGATGCTTTGTCCCTGTCCGCTCACCCGAGACTTACTGTGCCCAAACATTCGCGGAATATAAGTGGAATATTGATTGTGACGTTAAACAACATATAAACAAATCTAAGACTTGCTGTGTTAAATCATGCACGAAAAAGTTTTCAGCTCGTTTCTCGTTTATGACTAAATCCTCAAACCAAAACATCAGATAACGACGATAGCGATGCGTACTTTGCTTCCTCTTTCCTTTTTATTAATGACAATTTGAAGAGGTTCGTGTAATTTTCTGACGGTTGAGATGTAAAATACTAATGATTTACCAATTAAATATTAGATTAGATTGTACTAATATTTGAATTGACGCTGAACACGGATTCATCTGCTCTTACCTTGTTCCTTCAATCTACGTACGACGCTTAATCTTTTTGTAAATGGGTAATTAACGAAGTGGAACACTTGTTATGGATAGACAACTGCTTTGTTGCGGTAGTTGCGACGTTGGGTAATTAACGACTGCTTCACGACACTTTCACATCACAACAGAAAACAACGATTAAATTTGATACGCCTAGCTGATCAAATTTCTCTCAATACTGAACAATGTTTCATTAATGCATGCATGATATAATATATTTGATGAAAAACATTTTTTCAAAAGTGAACATATGCATATTTATAAGTTTAATTAACTACGGCAGCATTGAATGAACAGTTTTAATCCCACATCTATCTAATCCAGCTTCCTCGTCTGTTTCACAGTCCCAGAACCACATTATTTCCCGTCTGCCCAATCTTTTGAAGCAAGTATAGATTTCCTCAGGTTCTCAATCTCCTTTTAATTTGGACCCTTTCCAATTTTAAAGGAAGTGTATGATTTATTCAAATTTAAACGTTATACATACATATATTCAGAGACTAAGCGCCAGTCTACCAGCTTAACACCAGTCCCAAAGAGTCGGGTTTCACATACTGCAACATCTGCTCTGCGAACACATGCATGATCCATCGTCAATCTAGCCTATAACCACGCTGAATAGCATTTGCACTGGAGGCGAGAAAAACAGGATTTCTAAGTGGCACAAAACCCACTAACACCGGTTGAAAGCGGATTGACCAGCGCCAATGAGGTCACAAGCGAGCTGTTTGTGTTTGCGAGTGGAGTACGGTAGCAGATAACGAACCTCGGTCAAGGTGAGTCTTTTAGAGTTTCTGTACGTCACTCTAACGCTTAGATAATAAGGCTTTTGTTAGTGTGGTAGGAAGTAAATAAGAATTATTAGCGCTCGGTTGGTTTTCAGTGGACTACATAAATATGTCGGCTGCTGACGTTTACATTAATGTTTATGCTAAAGATACCCGATCAAGCGATCGTTGAGTAATGGGTCGGCTCTCATATGAATCAAATCCAGTATCGTGATAATCACTTGATTAGTCTGGTAGTCTTGGCGACGTTTTGGAACAAGAAACACGAGCGTTCCTGGACTATAATTAGAAACGGTGTTCTCGTGTTTACTTCCCGTGAAATCTGGTAATTTGAATATCCGTGCATGTACTTGTGTTGCGCCTTAGAAATAACGTAACACGTTAATATGGACATTTAAAAAAAAGGAGTTTGTATATTTGTTCTAATATATTCCAAAACCCGAACCCGAACCACGGAACACAAATACCTGCACATTATTATTCACGTCAGAGTAATGGATATAGTTTATGTGCACGGCTGTATCAGACGACGGTAAGCAGCTGTGGATTGTTTGAATATGTACATATTAAAAGATACCTATATGTACTGCCCGTTGCCTTGGAAACTATATATTAAAAAATGAAACCTGACAATGAGAAATGTTTCAGGCTTTCCAGGTTTTTGAGAAAGAGTAGAATAAACGTGTTCACAAAATTTAAGTTTCATTGTAACCAAGCAAGATACAGATTACAAAACAGATTATTTCACGGTTGAACAAAATGCGTCTTGGTCACATCTTCATATAAAATAGACGCGAGATATTATATAAGATGTTTTAAACATAAGCAGTGTTTCTAAAAATAGCAACAGCAACACGCTAACAAGCATTATAACCTCTGATATAGACCAACCCTTAATCTCTGAATATATATAATTTTGATAGAAACAAACAATTTCTTTTAAACTGAAAAGGAACACCAGTGATAATGGAAAATCTGAGGAAGTCGAGACTTGTTTCATGTAAATCTTCAGCATTGCGGGGCGGTGGGGTAGCCCAGTGGTTAAAGCGTTCGCTCGTCACGCCGAAAGCCCGGGTTCGATTCTCCACATGGGTACAATGTGTGCAGCCCATTTCTGGTGTCCCCCGCCGTGATATTGCTGGAATATTGCTAAAAACGGCGTAAAACCATACTCAGCCAGTCAGCTTTAGCATTGCAGAAAAGGCTAGACAGATGGGAAAATGATGCGGTTTAGGGATTGTGGGACAGTCTACCTCTGATAGGGTATAAATTATTCTGGCTGGAAAATAGACTTCCATAAGCGTCTTATACATGATAGTTTTAATAATTTCTAAAAACATATGAATAAAAAGAACAAATTGTCCCTTAAACCGACTGGCGCCCTTTTGAACTATCCACAAATCTAAACTTGCACCTTTATAGGATAGAAGTACTATACATTCATTGGCGTAGCATCTGGCGCGGACAGGTACGGCTAGCTGGGGAGGCGGCGTGTTACCATGCCCAACAGTCATGACAGAGTAACTATAGCGATATGCGTAGTCGGGCTGTATTTAACATACACTAAACGCCAAAAGAAACGATAACGCCCTCCCTCCCTCCCTCCCCGACACACACACCACCCCTTAATGACGGAGGTACCTATCTACAGCTGGCGTTGTGATGCGTGGACGTCCACTTCTTGGTCTGTCTACGGTGACCCAAGTCTCTCTGTAGCGCTGAGACCGCCTCCGGGGTGTTGTGGTTAGAGCGTCCGCCCGGAGAGCGGAAGGTCGCGGGTTCGATCCTCGGCCGCGTCATACCAAAAGACGTTAAAATATGGTACTTGTTGGTTCCTGCCTGGCGCTCGGCATTAATGGGTACAAAAAGGACTGGTCGGCTCGGAGTCAGTATAATGTGTCTGAGTGGGGTATGCATGCTTCACTGCGGCATGGTATCTCAGTAGGCTAGCACTATAAAACCAGCTTCAATCTGGGCTAGTACAAGCAGCCGCACATACACAGACACACGCATGCACGTCGTCATATGAGCGAAATATTCTCAAGCACGACGTTAAACCCAATTTCACCTCACGTCACCTCACATGTAGGGCTGAATATGTGATGAGCGTGATACGGTGGCATCCGCGTTTGCAGCAGCATTGTATGTCAACCCCATCTGCACCATCCCAATGACTCTTTCTCTCTCTTCAGCTGGGTTGTCAGGCTCGCTGACCTAGTTGACACATGTCATCGAATGCCAAATGCTTAAATCGATGCCTATGCTGTTGATCACTGGATTGTTCAGATTCAATCGTTTACAGACCCTCCATTTAACTAAAAATCGGTCAATCCTGAGGTCATTTCGGTCAACTGTAGGCACTTTATATTGAAACAATATTCACAAGCGAGTGAGTACGGATTTACGCCGGCACAAAAAGAAATGGCATTAAAACATTGTACCCATGTTTGAAATCGAACCCAGTCTCACTAGTGGATGCTTTAACCACTAGACCACCTCACCGTCTCGAATTTACAAGTGTAGATCTCCTTTTTCAAAATGGCTGTCACCTGGCTGTCATGTGACTATCACAATTTAGCGTCATCCAGGTACTCTTGCTCGTATATTACATTAACTATATCTATATTAACCATAAAAGGCTTTTTTATCAAGCACCTTCTTTGTACGGAGGTAATGAGCATGATCTGGCGTTGCACGATTACACGGATAACAATGTGGGTTTTTTTTTGTATACGGAATAAGCCGAATTGACCCGAATGCTTAGTGATGTGAGCCGATACAGAGCACCGTTTGACGGTTACGTGCTCTTCGGGTTTACTGGTTTCAAATGCATGGTCAGGGCTCACTATTCACGTTCCTTCAGCCCGAAATGAGCACGTCATCACGGACCGTCTAATTCATAAGCATGTGTTAAGTAATCTGTAGCGGATTCCAGTACATTGTATGTAACAAGGTCATCCGGTATAACTGTTCCCCTCGTGTATATCTTATATACGCATTCAGTTACGTGAGCGGAGCTTCGTATCGTGTGCATTGAATATTTTGCAAGGAAATTAACGTCGTACGTATTTTTCTATCACTTAAGTGGGAGCAGGTGGCCAAATGGTTCACTGGTGAAGATTCTCGTATCAGAAAGCTCATGGGACTTGATAGCATTCTCGTGAAACTGAGGTATGGTGAGTGTATTGCGATTTCGCGAGACTTAGGATCGTGACGTTATCGAGCTTTCGTGAGACTAAGGTTCGTGACGTTTTTCAACTCTCGTGAGACTAAGGTTCGTGGCGTTATGGACGTCTCGTGAGACAAAGGCTCGTGATGTTATGGATCTCTCGTGAGACAAAGGTTCGTGACGTTATGGACGTCTCGTGAGACAAAGGCTCGTGATGTTATGGATCTCTCGCGAGACAAAGGTTCGTGACGTTATGGACGCCTCGTGAGACAAAGGTTCGTGATGTTATGGATCTCTCGTGAGACAAAGGTTCGTGACGTTATGGACGTCTCGTGAGACAAAGGTTCGTGACATTATTGACGTCTCGTGAGACAAAGGTTCGTGACGTTACGGAATTTACATAAGACTAAGTCTCCTGACTTTTTGCAAATCGTGTGAGACTAAGGTCCGTGACGTTATGGAGACTAAGGTCTAATGATTTAATGGGATTCTCGTAAGATTACGGTCTGGTGGCTTTTCACGTTCCGTTTCATGAAACCCATGAGTTTTAGAGATCGACTTTCTCTCGCACTCATTTCTTTTATCACGTAAACTAAACTCACTCACTCACTCAAACACGAAACTGGCGCCTTTATTCGTTGTTCAGAGTTACATCCCTTTACCATGCAAGGATCCAATGTTCCCAGAAAGCTGCCTTTATGCAAATATTATTGTCTTAGATTTAGAGAATTATATGCACATTAAATGAAACACCAAGAACAGGCAAAGCTAATAGGTGCAACTAAATGGAATGGATTTTCCGATTCTGCATTTCGAAATTGTGTACTCTGCTACGTGTAAAATTGTTTTGATTGAAAGTGTATCAGTTTATTAACGGTTTTGAACAGTGAAAACACAAAATATGTTTAAATTAGAGATTTATAGAAAACTCGATTTCCGCATTAACTAGGAAGACAATTATTTCGGATTACCCACATGGTCACGTGGCTCCTAATTTGCCACAGCTTTGTTCATTGCTCGTTTCTAATTGACCAGATACAAACATACAAGTATCATTGGCTGAAAATTCTTTTTGAATAAACCAAGTGTATGTTATTATTATAAATTTCACCTGAGAGACAAATCCAGCCTGATTAAAAGGCTACATAGCTACATTCTGTGAACGTTACCGCACGTATACTCAATGAACTCTGGGACAAATATCAAAACATGACCCTGTAACCCCTACACTTTTCACAACGTCAGCATTCGTCTACAGATGCAGCTGTGGGAACATCTGTAGCCAGCCAGCTGACACACTGACCGTGCCACATCAACAGCGGCGACACCAACATCTGCAACACCAGCCACAGGTAGGTGCGACAAAACAAGGGAAAAAACAGGGCAAGGAATATATTTTGAACACACGAATTTACGACCGCTTCTACCCAGTCTCTACCCCAAACGTCTAAAACAGACTGACTGAGTTTTGGCAATATTCCAGCAACATCACGGCGGGGGACACCAGAAATGGGCTTCACACGTTGTACCCATGTGGGGATTCGAACCCGGGTCTTCAGCGTGACGAGCCAACGCTTTAACCACTAGGCTACCCCACCGCCCAAACGTCTAAAATATGTTGTTTGTTTGTTTGTTTCTTCGCCGCTCTCAGCAGTATTCCAGCGACATGGCGGCGGTCTGTAAATAGTCCTGTCTGGATTAGACACTCCAGTGATCGACAGCATGAGCATCGAACTATGCGATTTGGGATACCATGACGTGTCAACCAAGTCAGCGAGCCTCACCACCTGATCCTGTTAGTCTCCTCTTACGACAAGCGAAGGTTACTGAAGAACAATTCCAACCCGGACCTTCACGGGTCTCGTAGTCTGTCTCACAGTCCCTGAACCACATTATTTTCCCTTCCGCCCAGCCCTTTCTTCAATACCAAAGCCCTAAATGAAGCAAGTCTAGATTTCCTCAGGTTCTGAATCTGCCTTCCCACTGGGGCTCCTTTTCAGTTTGAAAGGAATTGTTTTTTCTTTCAAAATGATACATATTCAGAGACAAAGCCGTAACTTCTTGAAGTCGGAGCAGTAAGGAAGAATAAACAACAATTATGAAACCCTTAACTCCCCTTCAGGTTGCCATGTCTTTCGGTCAAATCATCCTTCTTTCGATCAAACTCTAAATGGTCTGTCGGGCCGTGTGCGAAAAACGCCTTATGTCGGAAAGCGCACGTTAAATCTCCAAATCATCATCATCATCATCATCATCATCATCATCATCATCTGTAAAAACCCGTCTTCTAGTATGCAGCAGGGACACCCTCCACCATCCACTTCAAACAGTTTAGCTTCTAGCCTGTGTCCTCCCACTACTTGGAAACACTGCTAAATGTATCCCTCCCTATACCATTGTTCTGTTCATTACTTGCTTGATAATTTGAAAAAGTCCTACACCGAAACGTCTCTCTCACTGCAATAGAGAAGTTGTTCATCCGTATATTGTTATCCTTCCTTCCTCAACGGGTCCCGCTGTGATCGAGATTTACGAGACGATTGAGTGATTATATGCCCGTGACAACGATGCGCATCGTCACCATACGCAGCAGTACACTAACTGTACACCGATTGCAGCTGTTCTCGGCAGAATTAATTTTCACTGTGTCAGGATCGGATACAGCATAATATGATGGGGAATGGGTGTATAAACGATTGGTTTAACCATTTTGAACTAGTGGTGTTCCGATTAATTTAAATAATCGAAGATTGGACCAAACGACCAAGAAATCGATCACATCTCATAATCGAACATGAACGATTTTGGAACTACTGTTTTAGTCTTTGAAATACTTGACAATGGAACATATTGTTGAAGTTGTCAGGGCCTAAAAACGTGTTTAATTCTTAGAAAACTCACTTCACTAACTGAAAAACCATGACTGAATATTTCTTGAAGACTCCGGGACGTTTATGTTCATGATATATTAGTCATCACTTTAAAGTAGCAAGGTGCATCATGTTATACACATCTGCAATAACAACCTGGATAGGAAAATCTGAAAAATTACACTAACCAATTTTTATTGATGATTGTTCGTTGGTAATGAAGCAATCATCAATTGTGAGATTTCAACTGATTCCCAACACTATTTTGAACATGTCCCGGCGTGTCGGCTTCATGCCGGAGGATAGCTAGAAGTGATACAGGCCTCCTACGCGTACCACTTTGTTGAAAGCGACGAGCACGGGTGTTGAGCTGACCCTGCCGGCTGACTTTCGAGTGAATGAGTTTAGTTTTACGCCGCCTTTGGCAAATTCATATTATTCCTGCAATTCGAACGGGGGACACCAGAAATTTGCTTTAGACATTGTACCCATGTGGGCAATCGAACCCGGATCTTCGTTGTGACGAGTGAACGCTTTAACCACTAGGCTACCCCACCGTCCCTAAATTACTCAGCAGTGCAGCATGCTCTGCCAGGTGCCTGGCACTTTAGAAGATAGTCCAGGGTCCACAAAGCGTTCGTAACATTACGACCTGTCGTAACTCTATAGTTTACCATAAGCTTACGAATGACGCAGCAGTGCGAACGGTTTGTGAATCGGGACCCAGGGTGATAAGATCCTCGGCATCCATGTTTTGTCTCTGTCGTTGTCCTGAATATAACGTATTTCCTCAAATAAGCCACGCCGAAGACCCGGGTTCGATTCCCCACATGGGTACAATGTGTGAAGCCCATTTCTGATGTCTCCCGCCGCCATATAGCTGGAATATTGTTAAGAGGGGCGTACAACCAAACTCACTCACTCACTCCTCCAATAGCGCCGGGCCTCTAATAAGCGCCTGGGCCTAGATTTTCGAAGCTCTCTTAGAGCTAAGATAGTCGTAAGTGCCATAAATTAACTTTAACTTACGACTACCTTAGCTCTAAGAAAGATTCGAAAATCTAGGCCCGGGTCTGGAAGTCCGTTGAAAACGTAATCGCACGGGTGCTTATTAGAGGAAATACGGCAAGTGTTGTGGAAAATACACACCGACATTAAAGTCGCAAGGTTCGCCAAGGACTCCCTTGTGATATACTCTGTGTGTATACTACACTGTAACGACATCAAGAGCTTAATAATGTGCCAAATCAATGGCGTAACCTATTTTTGACGTCAAACAATTTTAACACAGGTGTGATAGAAAATCGATTTTTAGTTTTTCTGTTACATATGAAGGTATTTACCTGAACTTGATTCTAGACCTGTATTTGACAATAAAAATTCTAAATTTCCCAATAACTCAATTTTACAATGAAACGATCCAGCCGTTACGCACCAAAGGGAAAGTAGTTTCAAATGCGTAAAAAATCCATGGTGGCATGGGCTGTTAAATCAAGAAACAAACGTGACGACGTGGGGCGTGCGTGTGTGTGTTTGTGTTGTGTGTGTAAGTGCATTTGTGAAATCACTGAGGAGGCACGAGTGTAATATGTGTTAATAAAAAACTGACATATTTGCGTCATCACGAATACCAAGTGGGTTGTTCTACTTAGCCTATTCTATATACATTAATTCGTAGTTAGGGGCGGTGGGGTTCCCTTGTGGTTAAAGTGTTGGCTCGTCACGCCGAAGACCCGGGTTCGATTCCCCACATGGGTACAATATGTGAAGCCCATTTCTGGTGTCCCCCGCCGTGATATTGTTGGAATATTTCTAACAGCGGCGTAAAACCATACTCACTCACTCACTAATTCGTAGTTACAGTTCTCGTTTATTGCATTACTGAGAGGTGGCTTACTTATGTTATCCGGCCCCCTTATGGGATAACATGTTGTTATCTTGGGCCCCAATCCACAAGGCGTTCGTAGTACTATGACATTCGTATCCTACGACATGTCGTAATGTAACGAACGCCTTGTGGATCGTGGGGGCGTTGTGGGCGAGCTGTCCAAAGCGCCAGGCTAGTGATCCAGGGAGCTTGAAGTGCCGGATCGAGCCCACCTGTGACCGGGCGTAAAAACCCTGAGTCAACTTTGTGTGCAGACTCTTTCAGTGTTGTCACAACCCCTAGTGTACAGTACACAACCCCTGTTGTACACATAGTGGCCACATGAATACATGCAAACACCTAGTTGCGGGTACAGCAACGTGCAGTGAACTTGGACAAAGTACTGTGACAATATGTCCCAGTCCACCCAGCTGTCAATGGGTACCTCGTACGGATGGGAAAGCCGCAATAACTCGGTGCGCCTAGTGTCTGCAAGAGTTGTATGTTCCCCAGGAGTTGAGATTGATAATGCTATGAGCTGTTGAGATTGACATCCAATGATTGAGGGAAAACAAAGCGCTTTTGAGCAGCTGAGCTGGATATTGACGCTATACAAATACTAGTGTGTGCGTGTGTGTGTGGAATGCCATAGTTAGTGATCAGTCAAAGAGGTTCTTCACTATTTATTATGTGGAGTATATATTAATATTCAAACAATAATCTTACATACACATTACATTTCAAGGAAGGGGATGGGGTGGGTGTGGAGAAAGTATCATTTCAATTGGTAGAGCTGCTGTCCGTAATAACACTTGTATTTATGTATTTCAACATCGGAAATTTCCAAAGTATAATTCAGAAACCTTTCATACATATTTAATAATATTTTAATTATTCTTCAAGGTCGTTTCATAAATCATATGGGCGGTGGGGTAGCATGGCGGTTAAAGCGTTCGCTCGTCACGCCGAAGACCCGGGTTCGATTCCACACATGGATACAATGTGTGAAGCCCATTTCTGGTGTCCCCGTCCTGATATTGCTGGAATAGTGCTAAAAGCGGCGTAAAACACAACTCACTCACTTACTATAAATCATATATAGATGATCTTTGCCTTTGGACGAATCGTTTGTATTAATTTTGTACAAGTATAAAATTATATATTATGTTCAGTGCTTTGGATGCGCTCATTACATGGACAAGTAACCATGACAATGGATCTACTTAACTGACATAATCATTTATAACACTACAATGCATCTATTATGTTTTAAATTTTATTCAATAATGTGGGAATGTTTCATAACTAAATGAGTCAGGCGTTAAACAACTAACCAACCAACCAACGAAACAGCTTTTATTCTCCCAACCTTGACCAACATTCAGAGTGCTCTGTTATAGTATACAATGGAAGCACGCCGCTGTCACTATGAACACAATCTGATGTGAACCTCTGACTCGTGTTATTGGTTTAATAATCTCCAAATGTATTCTTTCAGCAGCTGCTGCGTCCATTAACCATCAGCTTACATCCATGCTTTGTATTGGTAATGTTTATCATCTGAACAGCTGATTCTGATGTGCTGTAGATATGTAGGAACTGAGATCAGCATACGTTGCAGACAAAATACAATGCTATACACGGTTCTACTTTCACTGACAAAAGTGGGATCCGGGGGACCCCATCAATATATGTTACAGGTCCTTGCTGGTAATATGAGGGTAATATGAAGTATTGATATGGTGTGGGGAACGTTGAGAATATTACCTCAGAGACAGGAATGAGTCAGTGATCATGTGGACAGTGGTCATGACAGATGGGTGAAATTACAGACACAGGAATATAGTCCTGATGCACGGTAGGTAAAAAGAGAATCTCACCCAAGTGTCTACTGATATCAATTATATCAACACGAGTTGATAAAGTTGCAAATATCCGAGGCGTGCCGAGGATATTTTGACTTTTATCAACGAGCTAAATGTTTCATATAGCAGCGTTCAACCAACTATAATCACTTCCAAAATGTAAACACAATAGGATTATCTCCTAAATGTACATCTCTTAACACTGATCTACCATTAGACTGGCAGTGCAGCGATGTCATAGCATTGTAATGTCAGCAAGTTCATGACGTCATAGCATTGTCAGGGCACTGTACAAAATCTACTGTCAAAACAATATCTCCTAGGAGATATTGTGGAACACAATTTTGGATGATAAATGTGCATCTCTTCGGATGCAGTATTTTTGGGTTTCTGCATCCGTTCTCAACATTTGTGTGTCGCGTAAAACCTTGCTCTTTGGACCAAAGACTTTGTAATATTTGTAATGATAAGTTTGTAGAAAATGAATTTCATTTCCTATTTGAATCTAACCTTTGTCATGATTTACGCTGTAAGTATTTTAAAGCATTACCAAATTACATAGATCAGCAATACTTTCTGAACACATTATCATGTACCGATTTGTCATCAGCAACAAAGTGTTCTACTGCATTGTCATTGTCGTTCTTTATTCGTATCTTATCATTACACTTGTTTATTTTGTATTGTACGTGGGCCTTAGGCCTTGTTACGGAATATACCTTATTTGTGCGTCTCGTAAAACCTTGCTTTATTTGCCCTGTGCTACAGCGAAACTAGTTATTGTTGCGAAGAAGATCAAGAAATATAGACAGACAGACATACAGACAGGTATATTTCATAAATGTGGCCATGAGACCAATAGTACAAAATGACAATTTCTAAAACATTTTTACAGCGCGCATGGACATGATTTTGTTTGCAAAAAATTCTTGACGGAGTATGATATTATGGTTCTTAGTATTTAGAAGATGAACAATTTTTGGTTTTTGTTTATTCATAATATAGATACTTCGCATGTAGTGGGTTCTTACCGCTTCATATAAATGTGAGGTGAGGTGAAATTGGGTTTTACGTCGTACTCGAGAATATTTCGCTCATATGACGACGTGCATGCGTGTGTATGTGTATGTGTATGTGCGGCTGCTTGTACTAGCCCAGACTTAAGCTGGTTTTATAGTGCCAGCCCACTAAGATACCATGCCGCAGTGAAGCATGAATACCCCACTCACACACATAATACTGACTCCGAGCCGACCAGTCCTTGTACCCATTAATGCCGAGCGCCAGGCAGGGACCAACAAGTACCATATTTTAACGTCTTTTGGTATGACGCAACCGGGGATCGAACCTGCATATAAAGGACATTTCACTGACACATGATACTCATCTTCTGTTACACTTACAATAATCACACATAGTTACACTTATGTCATTGTCTGTAGATATTCTATACGAAACTATTTCTAGATCGGTGGAGTCGCATCTGAATTTTTTTTAAACTCTGCACCGATGTAACGAAGAGATTGCAATCAAATACAATTCTGGAAAAATATCAGAGTTAGAAACAGAACACATGTGCAATGATTTTGACATTCTATTTTGCGTCCATTCTTGGTAGTACATGTGTTTACAACGTTGTTTAAAAAGATGAAGAAACAATTCACAGTTTCCAACATTTTGATATTTCAAGAAATATATGACAGCAACTGGTGTACCCTTTTTGGTCAAATATAATAATTGTCACTCTGCCTGTGTCGAAATCGGGTGAAATCAGGGTATTCCAAAGACTCCGGGTTAGTGAGGCTTTTCATTGTTTTATGTCATACGAGTCCACACTGCCTCCGTGGTCAAGTGGACAGTGCCCCCAAGAAGGACATTATCAATTAGCCCCTATCAGCTTGTTTTGACTGTTTTCATTACTTAATCTCTCCTGCTCATTGGCTTCAGTGACCCGTGCTAGGTGTTGTTCTGGCTTCTCATCGGGGCGGTGGGGTAGCCTAGTGGTTAAAGCGTTGGCTCGTCACGCCGAAGACGCGGGTTCGAATCCCCACCTGGGTAATATGTGTGAAGCCCATTTCTGGTGTCCCCCGCCGTGATGTTGCTGGAATATTGCTAAAAGCGGCGTAAAACCAAACTCAGTCAGTCAGTCTGGCTTCTCATCAGGCCTCGTCCTATTATGGACCCGTGAACACCCGGAAATTGGCCAAAACATGATGTTTATCGTTATTGTAAACACAAAAGTAAAGCATGGGTTTTACTGTCTGCACTCATTGCCATGGAGTACGGGTACAGCAGTGAAGAGTCATAAGCTGGCCGTTTCAGCTGGTTCCCATACTAACATCTGGAAGTGCTCATTTCTGACGTCATTCCAACTTTACGTCACAATATGATTGAATGACGTCACCACTGCTGACGACGCAACAATACGATATTTGCGATATTTGTACGTGTTAATACGCAGTGAATAGTCTTGCAATTTTCGATCATGTTTTTCAACCGATCAGATTAAAGAACACGGTGACTTTTGGTTTACAATATGCAACAAACAAGGATTTGTTATCCATAAAGTCGCATGTTTTATTATTGAAAGGTCGTTGGTATGGGCCTGTCTTAGAAAAAGGCACCCCCGCCTGCTGCATCTTGCATTTGCTGTAAAAGGTACATGATATTTTCAGACGTGACGCTCCGGTCGACACCGTTGACGTCATGACGAAGAAGGACGTAGACGGCGGCTGGGCGTGGGTGGTTCTGGTGGCGTCCTATATGAACGGGTTCCTGCTGTCAGGAGTGTGTTACATGGGTGGGATGTTCCAGGTGGTCCTGTTGGAGCACTTCCAGCAGAGTGTGGGTCTCACAGCCTGGGTCACGTCAGTGTATGCCTCGCTCATGCTGTTTGCAGGTGAGTTATACTGAGGTGCCTTCTCTGTAATATTGTTTTTTAATTTATGTTTCCTTCACACTGACATATGACGATGATACCATAACCTCAGATTCTTTCATCTTATATTGCGTTGGCTCGTCACGCCGAAGACCCGGGCTCGAATCCCCACATGGGCACAATGTGTGAAACCCATTTCTGGTGTACCCCGCCGTGATGTTGCTGGAATATTGCTAAAAGCGGCGTAAAACCAAACTCAGTCATTCACCTTATATTGTTTGCCCCGAAACATGAGTCTCATTAACCTATTCAGACAATGACCTAGTTTTCAGGCGATCCGAATTTTCTCGTGTGAAAATGAAAAGAGACAACAGAAACAGCAGAGGCAGCATGACCTTAAATAAGACGTCACAGACTGCCCCTGTTTGATGAGGTCGTAACATGAATCATAATTCATCTGGCTCACTGGTTACACCTGTTGTATGTTCTCTACGCAGATTCGATGTTGTTTTGTAACGGACAATGTGCTTGATATAATATTAAGTCCGTACCAGACCGCCAAACCTTTCTAGCGGCAGAGCCTCATTTTGAGATTTCCACGATTTCCAGATTTCCGTTTGTCAGAACACGACAGAGCATGTTGCACGACGTGTTTGCAAGAATTAGAAGGAGCGTATGTTGCAATATACAAGTGGTTAGATGTATCAAATAATACTGATTAATATTTATGTATCCAGTTGAATGAATTTGTCTCAAAATTCTGGACTGGTTATTGTACTTAGTTGCGCAATAGGACGAAACCCAGTCAGCAGGAAACGAGATTGTTGTGTTATCAATGTATTGACTTGATACATATACATTGTTTCATGAATTCGAATTTGGATTCAAAATAAAATAAAATGAAAAGCCTGTAATTCTAAACACAACCTAACGGTACCCAGAAGCATCACATGACTTTTCCCTTTGGGTGAGGACATTGGTTATACCACAGGTGTGTACAGATTCTTCTTTATATACATCCCCTTAAGCTTCAATCTCCTTCTGAAATCAAGCAGTTCCTGTAAAATGTTTAACCTTGAAAGCAATGATCTTTCGCTGTTGTTTCAGCTGTATGATTATTTATGTGTAGAAGCCATTACTACCATGGGCGATTTCCAACCTCCGTTTGATGTGGTTTGTTATTTACTGTTATAATAATGATAATGTTAAAATTTGTATAGCGCCTGAATCCAAGGTTGGCGCTTGGCCAAATGCTCTGTTGAAGAGAACCGTTTTTAGTTCGTTTTTGGATGGAATGATGCCTGCTATTGATTCTCACTGGTCATGTTACTTGCAGGTCCATTGGCGAGTGTCATCACGTCCTACTTTGACTGCCGGACCTCCGTAATGCTAGGCGGTGTCCTCCTGACAGTCGGTCTAGCCGGAAGTACCTTTGCAACATCTCTGAGCGGCTTGTTCGTGTCCTTCGGCATTATTGCAGGTGATTAGTTCTGGCCTTTTCTAACCTCCTATTAAACCACACACGTTAAGCGTTCGCGTGATGGAAGAGTGAGTGAGTTGAGTTTTACGCCGCACTCAGCAATATTCCAGCTACTAGTATATGGCGGCGGTCTGTAAATAATCGGATCTGGACCAGACAATCCAGGGATCAACAGCATGAACATCCATCTACCCCATTGGGATGCGATGATATGTGTCAACCAAATCTGACCGAGCCTGACCACCCGATCCCGTTAGTCGCCTCATACAACAAGCATGGGTTACTGAAGGTTCATTCTAACCCGGATCTTCACGGGTGGCGTGATGGAAGAACGATAATTCGATGTTCAAGATGAATCCAATGCATCAAAATTTCCAATTGGTTCCAGTGTGAAACTTGTATGTTTGTTGTTTAACGCCGCTCTCAGCAATATTTCATCGATACGGTCTGTAAATAATCAGACCAGACCATCCAGTGATTAACATCATGAGTATCGATCTATGCAATTGGGATACGATGACGTGTCAACCCAGTCAGCGAGCCTGAGACAGACAATGCGTGAGTTAGTGAGTTTGGTTTTACGCCGCTTTTAGCAACATTCCTGCAATATCACGTGGGGACCACCAGAAATTGGCTTCACACGTATATGTATATGGGGAATCGAACCCGGGCCTTCGATGTGACGAGCGAACGCTTTAACCAATAGGCTACTCCACCGCCCCTACAGACAATGCATGAGACTGGACATCGTGCCAATATCTAGAAGCAATCCGATTCATTCGATATATCGCAATCAACTTCTTCCCTAGTGTTCGTGTGATCCCCACACGAGTTACGAATAAGCTGAACATGTTCTACAAAATATTTGGAAATAATCTTTTTTATTACCTACGTGGGCGAAAATATCGGGGTTAATATTTTTCATACGATGCCCTAGAGCAAAATATAACTTTGTCATGGTGACGTCACGTCATGCACAATGCTATGACGTCATGCTTCTTCTATGACGTTGCGTTCTACATGCGACGACGGCGGGTAGGCAGCCTATGTTTGAAAGTAGATTTGGGTTTATTTCCTCAATTTTACAACTTCGGTAATAAATAGAACATTATGTTCGTGCCCATATCATACTATGTTTACGACACTCGTGCCTAAATATCGCTCTCGTTCGGGAAATACCAACATTGCATACTAATCTCGTTCGTCACACGAGTGTCGTAAAGCGTTGACCTATGTCGTAACGACTTAACCTGAGATTCTTACGATTTGATTGGATAACCGATGACCTCTCAATTAGGTCACATTCTGACGTAACTATTCATAACAAACACGTGCATTCATTCATTCTACAACTTACATGCATTGTGGGAATGTAAACATTGCGAACGTTGCCGTGTCGCTGTTTATTTGTGAGTCGAACTGAGACATTATATCCGTCGAAAAACATAAACGCAATGTTTCCACCAGTGATGTTAGCCGAATGAAGCAATTGGAAACCAAGAAACGAGGTGCTACGGAGTAGTTTACTGTAGGAGGCTGTACGAGGCGATGACAACTGACATGCATCGTGACGTCGGTTAAAAAGGCAGTGACGTCATTACAGTGTGATCTCATGCAAATATTGTACTACAGTACAAAACTCTTCCGAAACCTCTTTATGAAACCGGTTTCGGTTTGAAACCAAAAACATAACAAAAATACGCTATTTTGTCAATTTAATGCATGTAAGACGTGGGTAATAAATAAAATACCACACTCGGTCTCTTTACATACGAATTATACGAAACTCGTGACCTTCCTATGTTATCTGACCTCGCTTTCGCTCAGTCAGATACCATAGGAAGGACACTCGTTTTGTATAATTCGTATGTAATGAGACCTCGTGTAGTATTCTCTATTTAGGCACCCGTGTCGTAAACAAAATATGACATGGGCACTCATGTAATATCCTCTATTTACCACAGTTTTCTCAAAATTGTTTTCCACCATTTTTTTTTTTTATTACCATACAGGTCTTGGATTAGGATTAAGTTACACGCCCTCTGTCGTCATTGTCAGCTACTACTTTGAAAAGAAACGGACGCTGGTGACAAGCGTGGCCCTCTCAGCCGCCGGCACCGGACTCCTGATCGCGCCTTTATTGTTCCGATACCTACTGGACAACTATGCATGGCGAGAGTGCCTGGTCATTTTGGCGGGAATCTGTTTTCATATAACCCTGTTTGGAGCCCTTATGTTTCCGATACACGAAAGAAAGGATTGTCGGGCTTTCTCCAGGTGCCGGAAACGGAGCCCAAAAGATCTTTCAGAAGACCTCGACGCTAGCCAGCAGCTCACTGGAATTGCAGACAATGGCCGCATTAATCATTCCAAGGTTACGACATATGAGACGGATAAGTATGGGAGTATAATTCTCAAAGACGACTTTGAACCATCCAAAAATGGATTCGTCACACAGGAAACCGTGACTTCAGGAGGAAGTCAGTTGGATATATTCAAGAATGTGGCTTTTGTTGTGTTTTGTGTGAATCAGGTTCTGGTGAACGCAGCATGTGGGGTGTTCAACATCCACCTGGCTGCTTTCTGTGAATCTTACGGAACTAGTTCTCAGCAGGTCGCCTGGGTTCTCTCCGTCAACGGCCCAGCCAACATTGTGTCGCGAATCCTGCTGGGGGCGTTTGCGCACGCCAGCGAGAGGGATGTGTGGATTCTTTATTATGGCGTTCTGTTGACTTCCGGTATGATATTCTGTATAATGCCCCTCTTTGCCAAGACATATGTTACTCAGCTTATAGCTGTGCTTCTCATAGGAACATATCTTGGGGGGTCGTATTCTCTACCTCCGGTTCTCACAATAGAATGTGTGGGATTGAAGAGGCTTGCGTCGGCGTTTGGTGTGACCATGATCTGTGCAGGGACTGGGTGGCTGGTGGCGCCACCTATAGCAGGTAGGGACATTCTATAACAACATTTACATTATTTTTACATGTGAAAAAGAAAAAAATAATTTAAGGTGAAAAAGAGAAGCAAAAACCTTTAAGGTGAAAATTCGTAAAGACTCGTAGAATGATGTCTCTCGACCATAATCTCGCCGTTTAATCCTATTTCACACGTTTAGGGTGAAAAAACCAAAAGGACAAGGTTTAAGGTGAAAAAGAGGACAAAGGTTTTGAGGTGAAAATTTGTAAAGCCATCGAATAATGTCTCTCAACTATAATTTCACTTTTTAATCCTATTTCACACGTTTTAAGGTGAAAAATAAGACAAATTTTAAGGTGAAAATTCGTAAGGACTTATCGAATAATGCCTCTTGTTCATTATTTCACTCTCTAGTCCCATTTGTGTTTGCGATCAGCATTGTTTACATGTAATGCTCTATCGTTTAATCTCTGCAGAAGGCTTAGAGCTGTGTATACATCTGTTTCACGATGTTTTTAAAGCAACGCGTGTCTGTTTCAGGGTGGTTTGTTGACTTAACCGGCTCGTACGATTACAGTATGTATCTAGCAGGTGAGTCATTGCATTGTACACAGGTAGGTTTCATAACGTACCATTCGTACATAGTGTAACCTCGCGGAGATCCGGCATAGAACTGTTCCTCAGCAACTCATAAGCGGCGATTAACGGGTTCGGCAGGCTTGCATGTCATGTCATGTCAAGTGTGTTTGTTCATGTTTTGAGGCCGTTGGCCCATATACGTACATTTCAATACATAATCCATCGGTTCCCAAGTGCGCAGATCGATGCACATGCTGCTGATCACTGGATTGTCTGGTCCAGATGAATATTTACAGATCGCCGCCATATAGCTGGAACATTGCTGAGAGCGGCGTAAAACTAAACTCACTCACTCACTGACATAATTCATACATAATTGTTACAATAGTTACACATTTGCCTTCTTTTAAGGCTATGGGACATATATTTACATACTTTGAGCTCTAGTGTGTCATTGTCCGTCATCATGAGGTACTTAAACTTGACAATATATGGATTATTACAAAAACACAATGGAAATATGATTTTCTTGAGTCATTATAATGTTCACACACTAGAATAAAATGATATTCATTTTCCACGTTAACTTCACATGTCATCGTATCCAAGTTGTAATGTCAATCACTGGATGTATTGTCTGGGACAGACGGTAGAGGAACAAACCTTATAGATTGACAACTTCTGTGCAATAGATGCGACGTTTCGGTGTATCAAGCACCACATCAAGCATTATATCAAGCATCGATTGCAATGAACAAGTTGTCAATCCATCAAATATGTTAATCTTCATCATTTTAGCTTTTAAATGCCACTTTAAAGAGTTATGGTCCAGACTGAATTATTTACAAAGGGACGTGAAAAAGATGAAATACTGAATGCAGCGGTAAAATGGAATCATTGTAAAAGATATTGTTATTAATTAATTACAATGCGATGGTGTGTGCACATTAGTGTTCTAAATAGTGTGTAATTAAGAACAGTGGGTATATGTTAGATGCTGACATACAACCTGTTACACCAACGACCATTGATAAATGGGTTTGAAACAGCTGCTGCCATCTCTGATTTCAGTAATTATTTATATATATATCAACCGTTAGTTTGCCTTTTACTGGGTACCCCACATGAGGGAGTGATGTTAGTTTTACGCCGCTTTTAGCAATATTCCAGGGGATACCAGAAATGGGCTTGTACCAATGTGGGGAATCGAATTCGGGTCCTACTCGCAACGAGCAAACGATTTAACCACTCGCCTACCCAACCGCCCCATCTCCTTGAACTGAAGGTCCGGGTCTGAAGATCTTCAGTAACCCATGCTGAGGAGGAGACTAACGGGATCGGGTGGTCAGGCTTGTTGACTTGGTTGACACATGTCATCGGTTCCCAATTGCGAAGATCAATGCTCATGTCAATCACTGGATTGTCTGGTCCAGACTTGATTATTTACAGACCGTCGTTATAGGGCTGGAATAATGCTGAGTGCGGCATTCAACACTCAATACTCTCTGACACTGACCTATATTTTCCTTTCCAGGTGTAATGATGTTTCTGTCTGTTCTGATGGGGTTGGTGGTTCCGCAACTCATTAAGCCTGAGAACGAGTACCATATTCACCGAGACCACTCACTCGTCTTTGACGATGAGGAGAAAAGTGATGAAAGGTGAGTTTTTATCATACAGTAAACTTCGGTTGTGACGAACTTAAATGGGCTACTAATTTCACTTCGTTATAACCGTAGATTGTTATACGTATTTCGACTAAAGCATACAGCATGTGGCCGGGAAAAACATAGTTCGTTATATTGGTCAGTTCGTTATAAGCGTTGAGTAGTCTATTTTTCCCATTTATCCTAAACCTGTTTCGTAAGAAGATGTAAACGGAAAACTGATTAAGAATGAGGATTATTTTTATTGATATACAACTTCTTTAAAGAAAGTCATCTTTCTTCATCTACCCCACTTCTAGAATGCCAATCAAAGAAGGAAAATTGTTTAAATCATATTTTGTTTGTAATATTTACGATGTAATAAGGAAACATTATTCTTATTAATAACAGCGCTGGTTATTAACTCAAATTTCGATTAGTTTGTAATATTTATGATGTAATAAGGACAATTGAAAATTGTAAATATCATCTCTAGTTATTAACTCATATGTCCATTAGTTTGTAATATTTACTATGTAATAAGGAAACTTTAAAATTATTATTAACAGATCTGGTTATTAACTCAAATTTCGATTAGTTTGTAATATTTAAGAGACAATAAGGAATTGTTTTTTTATTAATAACGGCTCTGGTTATTAACTCAAATTTCGATTAGTTTGTAATATTTAAGAGGCAATATGGAAGTATAAAAATGATTAATAACAGCTCTGGTTGTTAATTTGTACTATTTAATGTGTAATAAGGAAAATTATTATTAGTTGTAATAGCTGTGGTTAGTTGATCAAATCTCGTTTTGGTTGTACGGGAAACTTACAGAAGACCCTGAATCGGCTTTCCGTTTGTATTTCAGTTCTGAGTTGCAGACAAAGGAGGAGGTTTGATTATTGCTGACCTGGCTTCAATGCCAGGAAGTCTGGAATTGTGTGTGCTGCACTTATACAGATTCTATTTTCAAGATGACCCGAATATATGAAGAAAATACAAAGGTATACATGAAACCTTATTAACTCGAGATCCAATCGAAAATCAGAAGAAAGTTATCAATGGATCACGAGCGGAGTGCCGGCAGAAGCTGGTTGAGCATTATTATAATGAAATGCTTCTGAGTGTATGTCGACAGGAGTTCGTGATTAATAGTTAACACGGTTTATTACTTTTTGTTTTTAGCCACTTAGAAATATTGCGTCTATTTCAACGGAAGGAAGGGTTGGTGGGGTAGCCTAATGGTTAAAGCGTTGGCTCGTCACGCCGAAGACCCGGGTTCGAATCCCCACATGGGTACAATGCGTGAAGCCCATTTCTGGTGTTCCCCGCCGTGATGTTGCTGGAATATTGCTAAAAGCGGCGTAAAACCAAACTCAGTCAGTCAGTTAACGGAAGGCTTTTATTGATAACATCAGAAAAAGTAATTAAGTCCAACAAGACGTCATACTTGAAGTCAGTTATACCATCATGAGAAATGGTCAACATTATACCCGACTTATAACAGCTTAACTATGGTTATGTGGAAGCTTCGACTGGTCCTGAACTAATCAATACAATACATGCGTGGGTTGCGACAGAAATCATAAGCTGGGTCATGTTTGATCATGAAGTCGTAAGCTACTCATAGTGAGTCAGGTGGTGATGGATAGAGGTAGATAAGCGGTAACTGCAGCCTGTCTGTGTACGACTGAGGGAGACTGGAAGTGCAGCCCCCAAGATAAAGATGGAATCTCACCAGTGCCAAATACTCCACAAATAGATTTACAAGTGCTTGCGTTATTGCTCAAATTATATTTAACCAGATGAGATTTCTATGACATTCGGAGCCAAGTCTTGGAAAGCTTTATGCACAAATGTCATATTATTAACTGAACGAACTGTATGTTTACATTGATTTATCTTTGCATAATTGTTCCTGAAAACACCGTTGAATACTGTCATCATGTTTTTCGACAGGAATGGCTATATGTTATTAATTTGATTTCTTTTTGAAACAAATATTAATCTGTACAGAATTATGCAACTCTGTGTAGCATCCTTGATTGATGAGAGCGGTGGGATAGCCTAGTGGTTAAAGCGTTCGCTCGTCACGCCGAAGACCCGGGTTCGATTCCCCACATGGGTACAATGTGTGAAGCCAGTTCCTGGTGTCCCCCGCCGTAATATTGCAGGAATATTGCTAAAATCGGCGTAAAACTAAACCCACTCACTTCTGATGGATCTGATGGACGCAATTCGTTGGATCCGTGATTTGTGTAGCTTGATGAATGGTGGATGCGACGAATGTGGCGTGATTGACGTTACGTTACTGTACATGAACGAATCTCCAGTGCTTTAGAAAGAACAAAAGGGGCCATTAGTGTTCTTTGTAATTTGTTGTTCATTGTTTATTTCTGTTGGCATACATGTATATGTTAATTAATACTCTAGTGTTTGTTGGTTTTGATATCTATTTATACTGAAGTGTATGTATAGAGTGATTGTGTACCTACGGTTTGAAAAAACCCTGAAAAGCATCACCTGGTAACTTTATTTTTTGGTCGTTTATATCTTGTTTGTTTCTTGTGTCAATGCGTCGATATTGCGTCGACTGGGGAATTAACTCATGTTTTAAGATGAAGTGTACGTACAATACGTTAACAAGATGAAGGAATACGTTGAGCTCAAACTTCTTTAGTTACATGACAAACAAATACACAAGACATAACTTAGGTGAGCAGAGTACCTGCAACCCCAGGGCGTTTCCTACGAGCGGCATTATCCTGCTCGTGGTCGTCCCAACAGACAGTCCAGATACCGGACTCGTACTCCTGCACTGTCTAGATGTGAGCATACTATATACAGTTTTTGACAACAATGGACAGGCGACGACTCATCAATGGACAGACAGAAAAACAATAACACTTCCTTGACCAGTTGATGTGATGGCAGGCACGGCCAAGGGGGATTACCAATGAAGGTTATAAATGTCTTATACAATAATTAATGGGCTGACAAGTCAATTAACAATGCGGTAGTGATAAGGATGTACAGTAGTGATTAAAAATACAGGTTAGCGTCATATATATATTACAATAAAGTCTCACATTTCTTGAGTACATAGTTTTGGACTTTTGAAATATTTGGACGAAGGTTGTCCTGAATTAGTCCCTATAACACTTGTTTAACACCACACGGTTGCCTTCCAGCTGTATTGAAGACAGTCTGTAAATAACAGGGCCTGGAGCAGACCATTCAGCGCCTGATAGTGCCATTGGTGTGCTTTTCGTGCACAATAAAGGCCACGCGTGAAGATCCGTTTTGGAAATGGTCTTCATGCTGCGTTACACATGGTCACGAATAGCCCTTTAATTGTGACGTTGAGTATATGATTTCTGTGACGCCTGAAATCCAAGTTGTTTTCCCCTTTGTTTCTGACAGGATTGTCATGTGCTCATGTTGAGTTTAGTCTTTATGTTACTGGGTCAGAATGAATGGCAATGTTTGAGAATGTGTATCTGGACACAGGAATTATTAGTTTTGTTTTAACAGATTTGTTGTCACTGAGATGCCTGTTAGTTTAGTAAAAGTATTTGTACATGGTTGTGTCCTGTTCTTATTGGTTGGAGGCGCAATCATCGCTATAGCGCTACTGCGCTCTGTGTCTCGCTATATCGCGATGATTGTTCCGTCTCCCTTCGCTGCCAGCCTACGATCCTTATGGTTTACATTTGTAGGTTAGGAGTTAGGGTTGGGTTAGGATATGGCACCCTTTCCGATCCTTAGGGAGCTGACGCATCTTTAGAGACAAATAACCCTTTACGATCCTTGAAGAGGTAGGATTCACATGATTTTTTAAATAAGCGGGGACCGGAGGGATATGTCATCTTTTGATGCTCGTTACCATTCGCCATAAAATCTAAACAATATATAGGACCATGGTTCCTCCGTCCGTCACTAGTACTTCATTTCCAGACATGGTTAGACATGACAAAGAGCTTTTGACATGACATGCCATATACTGGAGATGACATATACCGGAGATGACATATACTGGAGATGCCATATACCGGAGATGCCATATACCGGAGATGACAGTACCGTATTTGCGATGTGAGTTCCGATCTCTAATAGAAGAAAGTCTCTCATCGACTGAGGCGTGGTCATCGTGATGCTCCTGAAGTCAGCTTCATCCCCCAAATGATCTCACGTCCTTCTCACTAAATTTGTTAATTTACTCAGGTGCTTCCAACGTTGTCTTTTAAAGGTTTTTCTTGTTCACACACTGCTAGCAGTCATCCCTAGCTTCAGTGCCCGTTCGGCGTGATGTCGTGGTTTCAGCGACGTTTCCATGTCAGTGTTAGAAAAAAGCATTTGGTTCTGGAGCAGTCTAGTTAAAATCACTCTTTGTTCTCGCTTAACAGATATCTGAAGACATTCCATTACGGTTCGGGGGATAGGGTAGCCTAGTGGTTAAAGCGTTCGCTCGTCACGCCGAACGCCCGGGTTCGATTCCACATCGGTATAATGTGTGAGGCCTATGTCTGGTGTCCCCCGCTGGAATATTGCTAAAATGGCGTACAACAAACCACACTCACTCCATTACGGGTCACACCGGAACGAGGTTCCATCCAAGCCATCAGAGCGTCCTCCACCAGATCAGGAAAGAACCCATGAAGATCCGGGTTAGAATTGGCCTACAATCACCATGATTGTTGTAAGAGGCGACTCGGATCAGGTGATCAGGCTGGAGGACTTGGTTGATCGTATCCCAATTACGAGATCGATGCTTATGATCTCATGATCACTGGAATGTCTTGTCCATACTCAATTATTTACAGACCACCGCCATGTAACTAAGGCTGAGTGCTATAGGTTTCCAGATTATAGTCTCGAGAAGGTCAACACGGGGTATTCCGAACATAGATTGGATCCCCTGAATATCCTCGTCTCTCTCGCTTCAATGAATTGAACATTTCACACACAGGAGACTTTATATAGTCGTTGGAGGTACTGGCCTACAATCTATTTGTCAACCAACCTATGTTGTGCCGTTTCCCTGCCTTGAAGGGAGGAGACTAGTCTGTCTCACAGTCCATGAACCACATTTCATCTACTGCCTAGCCCTCCCTGCAGTGCTAAAGCCCTACATGAAGCAAGTCTAGATTTCCTTCTCTGGTCTCCCTGGGGCTCCTTTTTGAATTTATATGGGATTGTTTGTTACTATCAAAATTACCCGTGAAGGTCCGAGTTAGAATGAACCTTCAGTAACCAATGCTTGTCGTAAGAGGCGACTAACGGGATCGGGTGTTCAGGCTCGCTGGCTTGGTTGACACATGTCATCGGTTCCCAATTGCTCAGATCGATGCTCATGCTATTGATCACTGGATTGTCTGGTCCAGACTATCAAAATTATATATATTCAGAGACTAAGCGTCAGTCTAGGAGGAGATGAACACAATGCTATTGACAGAGTGCCATCCCTTATACCACGCCCACATTCGTCCATCAATATGGCTGCATCCATGCCACGGACAGATCGGGTCTTTAGCAGCCAAGGCTTGTCGCAAGAGGCGACTAACGGAATGGGGTGGGCAGGCTCGCTGACCTATTTGAAGCATGTTATCATGTCCCAGTTGCGAATGCCGACGCTTATGACTGGATTGTACGGCGTTAAAAAACAAAACTACCAGGGACGACATGTGTCAACATATTGATCAATGGGATCAAGGAGAAGTTATGATAACAACTACAGAGCATATTAGGTGGCAGTCCGTCCCATACATGCATGCATTACCCAACTGTAGGAGAGAGAAGTACAGAGCATATTAGGTGGCAGTCCGTCCCATACATGCATACATTACCCAACTGTAGGAGAGAGAACTACGGAGCATATTAGGTGGCAGTCCGTCCAAAACATGCATGCATTACCCAACTGTAGGGGAGAGAAGTACAGAGCATATTAGGTGGCAGTCCGTCCCACACATGCATGCATTACCCAACTGTAGGAGAGAGAAGTACAGGGAATATTAGGTGGCAGTCCGTCCCACACATGCATGCATTACCCAACTGTAGGAGAGAGAAGTACAGAGCATATTAGGTGGCAGTCCGTCCCATACATGCATGCATTACCTAACTATAGGAGATTTCACATGCTGTGTTCAAAAGGCGACTTAAATTTACATTTTAATGGCCGTTCATCTGTCTGTGTAGTAACATTAAAAGCACAGAGTTGCCCTACAAACCAGCTCGACAAAGCTGCGGTATTTATAATGAGTTCATCTCATGTGCTGCAGGCATTGTATTTCACATCTACTGTACAATCACTGGTGTGGTTGTGAGAAAGATGAAGGTCAGATTGACTTCACATTAAGTAAATGTTCCGGTCCGTCGATCACTTGCTTGTCTGGTTTGTTTATAGGCTGCTGTCGCATGGCAGGAGCACTGCTGTGCGGCGTCCGACAAAAAATACTTCCATTTTAGGCGAATTTGGGAATGGCAGGTGGTACCTGTAGAGCAGGTCATGCTGACCCTATTTCGCGACCACCTGGTGTCATCACTGATTTTCAGTGACCCATTCATAAAATGTTCAGTGTTCTTTTGCCTTTTAAGTACATCAATATCGGTTGTTTTCTAGAGTTAAAATTTAATTTTAAACATATAGATGACATGAACCAATTGTGTTGGTTGAAAATTACCACCATGAAAGAATCTAGATACCTAGCAGAGTGTCAAAGGCAAGATTCTTTACTTAGGGAATCGGTCCAAATTTAAAAGTTTTCTTTTTATTGCTTAGAACTTTCTAATTATTTCTCCGAACTACGGGCAACTGATTGCTAATCTGTACTTCATCTGATGTGCGTCTTCCAATGCAATTGGATACGATGACTTGTGTCAACCAAGTCAGTGAGCCTGACCACGAGTCGCCTTTTACAACAAGCATGCCGTGTCTTACGACAGCCCTGAAGACCTATTCAAATCCGAATCTTTTCGGGTGGAACAATGTATGTAAACAGTGTTTGGGTCATATAGTGTAACAACGAAATGTAAACATGGAACGGTTACAGCAGTCAATATATTAAATAATACCGATACAAACCATCGTGTGGATACAGTATGGCTGGTTAGACAAATTTCATGCAACAACCAGGAAACAACATAAGCGAGGCATACACTGACGTGACCCAGGCTGTGAGGCCCACACTCTGCTGGAAGTGCTCCAACAGAACCACCTGGAACATCCCACCCACGTAACACACTCCTGACAGCAGGAACCCGTTCATATAGGACGCCACCAGAACCACCCACGCCCAGCCACCGTTAGTCTGTCTCACAGTCCCTGAACCACATTAATTTCCCTGCTGCCAAGCCCTCTCTGCAGTGCTCAAGCGCTAAATAAAGCAAGTCTAGATTTCCTCAGGTTCCTCTGAATCTCTGGTCTCCCTAGGGCTCCTTTTCAATATAAATGGGCTTGTTTGTTACTATCAAAATTATATATATTCAGAGACTACGCCTTAGTCTAAGCCGCCGTCTACGTCCTTCTTCGTCATGACGTCAACGGTGTCGACCGGAGCGCCACGTCTGAAAATATCATGTACCTTTTACAGCAAATGCAAGATGCTGCAGGTGGGGGTGCCTTTTTCTAGGACAGGCACATACCAACGACCTTTCAATAATAAAACATGCGACTTTATGGATGACAAATCCTTGTTTATTGCATATTCTACCATGAATCAAGAAAATACTAGATTCTGATTGGTTGTTCAGAAAAATCAGACGGCATCAATTGTGGATTGACGCTCAGCTGATTGTAAGGC